GGCGCTTTTAAGCTATTTAAAAGCGAAGGAAAGCGAGGAAGAGAGGGAACGTCCCGCCCCCGCGGTGATACCGGTATTACCGGTGTTGTCAAACCTCGATTAACCGGTGGGAAAATTTCCTCACCATCACACCCCTAATGGTAACTGCTGAATAGAAGTTGAAAACAATAGAGTAGCCTACAAAATTAAACACTTAGGATGTGATAAACAATGTTGGACGTGCTCCTCATGAGGACTACAGTAGCCTATTATTAAAGTATCTGCTGCATGCAGTTCTTCAAAATACAACTCTACTGTTTATGTGGTAGAAAGATAATAAGCAAAATAAATGTAATAATAAATTAATACTGATTTGCGTTGTTATTTGCAGGGAAAATCACAAATTTCTGTGAAGTAGTATGAAGATGCTGATGTCCGCGCTGTCAGTTCGGTGGCGCTAGCGAACACGTCCTCCCCGCGCTGTCGAGTCAGTCTCAGAGCCGCGCCGATGACAGGTCACCACGGCGTGAGCTCTGTAACATCGCGCTGTTTTATCCCACTTTCGGAATTGTACTTAATGACGGTAAAATGGTAAAATTTAAATTACTAATAGCTTCAGACAACTTACGACTAACCGCCATTGAAGAGTTTGTGAGACGCGCCAAATTAAACGGAAGTGTTGACACAGCTTCCGTTTCAAGTGAAATTAGCTCTCATCATCTACTGAAATATTTACTTATTTCACTTATGCTTATATGAATTTCACTAAGGTTGATCAATGTTTTCACTAGTGTATGTAAGAGGTTTTTCAGTTAGACTGTTTTCCCCATTCCTGCTGGGCACATAGGAGGAGTTCTGTTTCCATGGAGATGCGTCATCACGCTCAAACGACCTTCACGCTGAGTTTTTCGCGCTACCAACTAGCGACTTAAGGATAGTTCGTTTATATAACAAATGTTAAAATGTAATAATGTTATAATATCTCTTTTAATACTCATGAAATTGCTTTGATTGAACGTTAATTTAAACTGAAAGTCAGTAAGTAATGTGTTGAAGTATGGCATCACGTAGAGACAGACGGATTAAAGGCGCTTCTCAAACAACAAACATGCGCGAGGAGATTTCAGTTAAAAAAGAGTTTCGCGTCCCACCTTTGAGTGTCACAATGAAAGAGAGCAAAAAGAAGAGGAAAGACCCAACAAAAGAGAAAAAGAAATCGAGGAATGGCATTAACCAGTCAAGGGATTCAGGTGAGTTGGTTTGTAAAAACGACTAGAGCCGAGAGATTTCGAACGCTTTAGGTGGTTAGGCTACTGGTGGCTAAAATAAACAAATAAAACTAAAATGAATAAATAAATTAATAATACGACCATATCATATCATATGAAAATGTAGCTGTTGGAAAACAAGACTGAGATAGTTCTTCTAAAAATGTAAATTCTGTCATCATTGAGTACTCACCCTTATATTGTTCTAAATGGCTTTCTTTTTTTCTGTAGAACATAAAAGAATATATTTTGAGAAATTCCTCAATTTTGTTTTCGCTCCATACATTGGAGATAGGTATAGGTTAGATATTTTATGGCAAAACAAGGCATGATTAGGAACAGAAATCTTCCAGTGCTGTCAACTAAATAACATTATTTATTAACACAGTCTGTCTTTAACAGTATTTTACTTGTGTTGATTGATAGCTGCCTCCTTCGTGCATTAGTTGTCCATGGGTAATTACTGACATTGTCTCAAAAGCATTGTGATATATTTTAAACCTCCTATACGTTTTCTCTGTTCTGGGATATTAACTCGTAATCCATCTACCCGCCTGACCTTCCTCTAGAGAAACTCCAGACAGAACAGTGCACCAACGGAGAGATGAGTGATGTTCAGAGCAAAGGTCAGGCCAAAGCCAAAGAACGAAAGAGCAGCAAATCCACAAATCCCAAGGGTGTTTCAGAAGCAGTTCCAACACAAGAGGACAACTCTGATTTGACTCCGCTTGAACAGGACAGCTTGAGGTGGGAAGGAGCTCTAGAAGACCCCACTTCAGAGGCCCAACGGTTGGAGGTCTACAGAGCCAACCGCCGTAAACGTTATATGGCATCAAGACAGGTTTTTCTACAAAATATTCAAAACTCAAACTCTTCAAAACTAAATGCACGGAACAAGCCTGGAGTTATAGCATGAAGAACTTACAACACATGAAGTCTTATAATCAGTCATCTATCATGTGCAGAGTCTATTAGTAGGCTGCATTCAAGAATGTTTTTGGTGTTATTAACATAACTGTAGTGAGAAAGGTCTTTAGATCTGAATGTGCAATATCATTTCTCTTGTATGTGGATACTCTCACATGGAGGCCTATACTGTTATATATTGCATCATTTTGTGATTATACACTGATCCTTGGTTTTGTTACCATTTTGAAGCATCCTATAAGCTAATCAGTCCATCCAGTTGAGCCTCTACTAATCTATTTAGTGTTTTGGTCATCTTTTACTACAATAATCATGTTTGATATTTTATCAAGGCCTTCAGGAATTTCACTTGTGTTTATTTATTTAGGCATAGTTCACTGTAATTGAGTTAATGGCTTCAAAATATGCAGCATACTAATTAAAAAAAGGCACATCAAAAAAGTGCTATACATTTTTTTTCACATTCTTAGATATAACATCAATTTACAATACTCCACTCAATTTTTTTTTTTATAATTACATTATTATAATAATCATGTATTATATCATACAAAATATGTAAATAATATTACTGCACATTACTTGCACACAAATTCAAAGAAATTAACTCTTTTATTCGGAATGTATTAAATTGTCCAAAAGTGAGTGAATATGTTTATAATGTTTAAAAAAAAAAGTTTATTTCAAATAAATGTTGTTCTTTTGAATGTTCTATTCATCAAATAATTTCAAAACACTGTTTCTAAAAATCAGTATATTAGAATGATTTCACAATGAAAATAGAAAAGTTGTTTTAAATAGTAATATTTCAAAATGTTACTGCTTAAGAGACATCTTTCAAAAACATGAAAAAAACCTACTGACCCCAAACGTATATATTCACGTTCTAGTATAAAACAAAATTGCTATCAATAATGTTGATATCAGTTTATGCTCATCATTTTGCTTTACTTTACTTTATGAAAGTAAAGAAGTCCAAACCAGTAAAACATAATTTATTGCTCTTTAAAGGCTACAGATATTTATGAGTATGACAAATGTGCTATATTTTGAAACTGAGTAAAAAACAAGACAATGAACCATGACTCATGATGCAAATGATACACTTGCTTTGCAGCACATTTCTGATAAAAACGACCTTGTGTGTGACGTCTTCTGCCTGTTATAACGGTGACTCATGTGTACATTCCTTACTATGCTGTATCTAAAACTGTGATCAATAACATTATAAACTGAAACTGTAAAACATGGTTGCCAACCTGATTTCACTTCTTGCAGTGGGTAAGTAAACTGGACCAAGGGCTCTTCCATTTGCATGTCATTAATAATGCATTAGTGCTGCAACATGGTCCCTGCTAGAAAAACTGGACCAACATGGAAGTCGTCACATTAAAAGCGATATTGTGTTTGTTAGCAATATTAGTCCGTTCAGAATGTCAAAATGTCAAGTACAGTAAAACGTTTTCTCACCTCTTTTTCTACTTTCTATATAGTGTGCATTTTGTGGATCACTGCTCCCCCTTAATAAAAGCAATAAAATGTGTTGGTTTTTTAAATAAAAAACTGCAGGCAGTCCACCTAAATAACTGAGTGATTGTGGAAAATGTTAGATAATGTTAGACTTTCACCATCTAGTGTACTTGATAAAGAGATTTTTTCAATTCTCTGCTATATAGCTTCTTAAGGGCTATATTTCATGGCCCACATATCACCTCCAGATTTGGACTGCCATATATGACCCATATATCAGAACTGTGAGTTCTCAGGATTTGGGATCGAAAACTGGGTTGTGTGGTAGAAGAGAGACAGTATAAGAGGCAATATAAGAGAGCAGCTCAGCATTTCTTTTGTAATATGCCCTTTTGTAACATGTTTGTCCAGCTCTATTATACATGCTCCCACTTTTGTGACCACCGTCACATTCAGCATCCTTTTCTCAGTGTTCATCTAATCCTTCCAAGCGCTATGATTGGATGTGTGCTCAGTGATTGTCTATTTTTTCACTACCCATGCTCCATTTCACAGCTTGATGACCAACTACGCCACCTAGATCCATCAAGCACGCAGTATGCCAGGGTGACTGTACATAATAATTGATTATCTCTATTACATCTACTTTTCCTTCTAAACATTGAGTAAATGCTGTACAAACGATACAATATATATATATTTAAAAAAAAAAAAATCTTTCTTAAGCTAATTCCTAAATAGGTTATCTTAATAAATAATATCGATGAAAATAAATATAGGATTGTGTTCATATTCAGAAAAGTGGATCTGAACCTGACCAAATTTTCTTTGGACGCTCATCCTTCTAAACATTGAGTAAATGCTGTACAAACTATACAATATATATATATTTAAAAAAAAAAAATCTTTCTTAAGCTAATTCCTAAATAGGTTATCTTAATAAATAATATTGATGAAAATAAATATAGGATTGTGTTCATATTCAGAAAAGTGGATCTGAACCTGACCAAATTTTCTTTGGACGCTCAGAAAACTGCAGCAAGAACAGAATAAAAGCTTTTCATCTTTTCTTAGTCGTGTGTGGGTAGTGGTCCTCCTCTCTGAGAATCAGTGTTAAAATGGCAAACTCTTTGTGAACTGAGTACAAAGCTCTTGAAGAGACATACTGTAATGCACTGGCCTTTATAAATGCTACAAAAAACGTCTTCCAGAGTAAAGGCATGATTGGATGGGATGGACTGTGGACAGAATGGCTGAATTCTGATCATTCGGAGTTCAAACTGTTGTCAGTGGTCACATGGGCTGCAGCTTCAGCCAGCTAAGGTCATCTGACCTATAAAAGAAAGAAAACCACAGTAAAAACAAAACAAAACATTAACAATACAAAAGAGCTCTGACGGTATGTGGTCGCTTTTAGCCTCTTTAAAGGAGCACCTAGCATTTTTTACATAAAAAAGTTTTATATCTGAAGAAATTAACTGTGCATTTGACCAGTATTTCAACAAATGTTTAAAATGACGTACAGTACACTCACATCAGAAGAAGAATCCATATCATTTTGAGATCAAATGACCGTCTTTTTCCTTCTAATTGGCTGCATTCGAAATCACATACTCTCTGAGTAGGTACTTCTTTTGAATAAGTAATCACTCTGTGAGCATTATCAAGTATGAATGTGTGTAGTATAATTGAAATTGGGATGTACAGTACATTCGTCACATTGTCACTGTCATGTGACCTGTTATGTGTCAGTCGAGTCACCTCACTATTCACGCTATTCACAGATCTTTTCATGGGATAGTAAAGTGTCCATTAGATGTGGAAGTAATTTCACACAGACTACTGTTTTAAGAATACTGTGAATTCAGACATACTACTCTTTTCACATACTGTTTTTCGTCTATTATATAGTAGGGAAGTATGTGATTACAGATGCAGCCATTGTTTGGAATAGTACACTACATTACTTTAACAGGTATTACTTTACGTATTAACGTATACACTTTCTGTACTAATTTATACCTTTAAGGTCCCAATATGCACCTTTTAGGGGTAAAAAGGTACAAAGATGTAGATTTTGAAAAGGTACTGCCCCAGTGACAGCTTTTGTACCCTTTTTGTACTACCTTATTTATGCAATAAGTAGTATGCTGAGCAAAGTATGCAAATTTTCAGATAAACTTATGCCATGTGACTAATCAATTTGGGGCCATAGGAAAATAACATCTTCATTAGTTGTATAAAAAAACGTACTACTAAACTATAATGAAATATTGTGGGCTAACTAGGCTAAAGCTAACCAGCCAAACCTCAACTCCTTGGTTGTTTAGAAAGATGAATACAATCAGTAATGAATAAATGATTCAGTGAACCTTGAACTTCAGTGAAGGATATCTGTATTTTCACATATACTGTAACTGATGTTGAGTTCTCACTCACTCTGCTTCTGCCTTTGTAATCGCTCTTCCTCCCGCCAAACTTTCTGCTACCACAGAGACAGCCGGTTCAACATTCAATCCTGCTGCAGCCACCACCTCATCATTCCTGCAGTTAAAAGTACATAGCCAATATTTCAAGCTTTAAAGAGAAAACAGGTATAAAGAATGGACCCCATAACCCTACAGCTTCTTACTTGAGGTAAAGTGCCAAAAACTTCATGTTCTCAAATTTCCCTTTCAGCACCATCTCAGTGTATCCCTCCCCATACCCTGCGGATAATGAAGAATAAGGACATAATTACATAAAAATATGTATTTTACAATCCGTAAAGCATGATGAGTTTGTAAGTTAAAAGGCCGCGCCAGCATATCGAATAGTTCTTCCCAGCAGGACGGTCCAATAGAATGGCACTGTGTTTAGCTCCACCTCCCTCTGCAACATGCTTAAGGCTGCAATCCTTCCTAATAAGGCAAATGTTATAATGATATCAAAGCAATTTGAGCACCACAGCCCAACACAGGTTTGAAAAAATGTAACGCAAAAGTAATGTATTGCATTGCTTTCCATACACGGTGTGACGAGTGGGGGCGGGGCCGAGAGCCGTGGGAACGGAGCGAGGCCGGTGGAGTAATTGATAATGAGCGACACCTGCACCACTC